AAGGAGTTAAGTAACCGAGTAATTCAATAGTCCCACAGCTAATAAAATATCAAAACTGCCAGGGAACTCATTTTACTGCGGATGCTCAGTGTATAAATGACCAGCATAGGCCCTGTGGTGTAAGTGCGCTTTCCTTTGCATCCAGGGCACTGCTGAGCTTCACGCAGAAGCAAACCTAGGTGGACAGGTGTTCCTTTAAGAGAGCGGTGGAAGTTGTAACCCGAAGCCTCCTCCAGCGCCAGGCCCCTAAGGGTCTGAGAGGCTGCACCCAGCCAGGCGCGCAACTGGCCAGAGCTCCCTGGGGTCTGGCTGGCTCCTACTTCCAAAGTTGGAGCGCTCCTTGGTGGGAGGGGGCGGGGTGGCCGGTGGCTCCGTGACGTCACTCTGGAGAGGAGATAAAGCACTCTGGCCACCGTCGGGTGGAGGACACTTCCCAGGGGCAGAGTGGGCGGCCTGCTCAGGGACACGCTGCTCAGTGCACTCGCTGCGCCCCACTCGTTGGGAGCCGAAGTGCCCCCACCCGAGGCACCATGCCCCAGAACGTGGTCCTCCCGGGCCCGGCGCCCTGGGGCTTCAGGCTCTCCGGGGGGATAGACTTCAACCAGCCTTTGATCATCACCAGGGTAGGTACTTTCTTGCTTTTATGGACAACCAGGGCTCTGAGGGCCTGTGGAGCTGAGAGTGGCAAGTGAGCCCCGAGGGGGGCCCGGGGTGGCGGGCACGCGGCTCCACGGGCGCCAGAGCTCTGTGACCCCAGCTTGGACCACGCAGAGCTGCTGCAGAATCTGCCCTCTGCATCCTCTCGGTCCCCAAAACCTGTCGGAGGAGAGAGAGGAGCGCGTGGTTTCCCGGGACTCTGAGAAGGCCAGGTGGGGAGGACTTTCTCCCGCTCCTTCCCTCACCTACGAAATGGGATTCCCACAGGCAGACCCACACTCAGAAGCCTCCCTCAGAGAGTTGTTCTGGTAAACTTCAGGGAGGCGCCGTTCGCGGGCCACAACCTGGGTTGGCCAAATCAGAACCGGTCCTATCAGCCCAGGCAGGGAAAATATTAGTAATGTGTATTCCTGGGTTTCCAGGCATTTTCAATAAATATTTTCCTAAGCTTGAAACTTGGCTTAGGGATCATCATCTATAACTCAAACTACAAAGAGAGCTTGTCAGATAGTTTCGCTTACCTGATGGAAAGTAAGCGCCCGGCTGAACAACCCTGGAAGCAATAGCCGAAGATCACAGTCAGGTTTGCCTCACTTAGTGCTCTGGGGAGTCCTGCTTTGGAAAGGGGCGAAACAGTAAAAGTGAAACTACAAAGTTCTGTAGTTAAAGTCTGAAACATTGTTTGCTCTAGTTGATTTTTTCTCTAATGTTAGCTTTTGTCTTATTCGAAAATTACCATTATTTCAGTTACGACATGTAAAGAA